TACAAAAAAAATTGGAAAGCAAACACATACAAAAGATGATTGAATAAATTTTTCAAAACGTTTTATAAAAAAAATCTTAGAAAAGTTTATGTATAAAACTAAAGTAAAATCATTCATATAAATTAAGTACTTATTTTACCAATCATAAAAACATAAATTTTCTATGAAATATAAAATATAAAATGATATTTGAAATATAAATAAATAGAATATAAAAAGAGTTATTTTGAATATAAATAAATAGACTGTGAAAAAGAGTTGGAAGGTAAACAATTACGAAAGATGACATAAGAACTGCAGAGAATAGTTATCAAACTTTTTATAAAAAAATTCTCAAAAAGATTAATGCATGAAATAAATAAAAAATATCAGTGATTGTAATCAGAATAATAGTACTAAGAGCATTGAGAAAGGAAAAAATAAAATGACTTTATGTGAAAATAAAATATAAAAAAAAAAAATCAAAAACCAATTGAATACAGTTAAACAGTTATGACACATATAATACTTATTGCAGCGTATAAATATATAAGAAATTGTTTTAAAAATTAATATAATACATCATACTCTATATTAGAAAAAGAAATTTACAATTTAAATTTACATATTTTTGGACCAACAAGACATTTTAAAAAGACAAAATTATAAAATAAAATAAATATATACATAATAATAATAATGTTATAAATATAAAAAGTTAAAATTAAATTAATAGATAAGTCTATGCAACGCGCAGATCAAAACATCAAAATTTATCAACAATATTATCGATAAAAATAACAAAATGCATATACTCTGATGAAAAAAATATACACTGTTAGAGAGGGAATGAGCACATTTCTTAAAAAAACTTTTTCTAGCAATAACCTAAGCCAATCAAGATCAAGAAGACAGTGCCGACGTAACTTGAAAAGGAAAACTCCTCGAAGATATTCATCAATTCCCAAAATATAGGATCAACTCGAAGGAATATTCAAGGATAAAGGAGAATTTTCATATTCTTCGGAGAATAAGAAATATTTACATATCGCAAATATGGAAGTATTCACCAAATGAGAAAAGAAAAAGGAGTTCGCAGCAACTGACCTCCCAATCCTACAAATAAGAAGTCCCGGATAGCTTGAAGGACAACTCATACATTCGAGAGAGCAGCAGAGCAATACCTAAGAACTCAAAGCTTTCTAGTTTATCACTTAATAACTTTTCTTTCACTTCAACATAACCTCTCAGTTATACCAACCTTTGTAATCACTTTGGCTTCGAGCTATTTAATAAAGATCTTATTCTCCGAAACCCACAACTGTTAATCACTAACCCTAGTGGTGACTTTCTGGTTCAACATAGACCAAATCGACTTTAAATTATATAGAAGAGATACAATAAATTGAGTCTCCCCATAACATTAATTTCAAAGTAAAAGAAAAATATTTATTCTATAAATTAAAAAACTACAAATTTTCTACAAAATAAAAAATTATTTCGAATAAAAAAAAAGAGTGCGTGATAGATTGTGAAATCATTTTACTGATATTGCTGGAAATAAATTACATAAATAAGTTACTTAAATAAAAATATTTAATATAAAAATATAAACACTTATGATAGCGTATAATTATAAGAGAAAGCTTTTTTCTAAAAATTAACATATCACAATTTATATTAGAGAAAATATTTTACAACAAATTTACATACTTTACGATAGCTAAAAACATAAAAAAATATAAAATAAAAACAGTAAAAAAATAAACAAAAAATATAATAATTATATAAATTAACAAATAAATATGCTCAACGCACGGGTCAGTTTCAAGTCATATATATACTTAGCGAAATCTCTCTCCATCTAGAGTGTCCACCTCAGCAATTTTGATTTATTAAAATGGGCTTCTAAATATTTTAGGTTTTGTTTTTCAGTTTTTATCTTTTGGATATTTATGTTTGGACTTTTAATATGATTAATTTGAAATAAAAAATAAATATTTATTCAAGTCATAAAAATTACAAATTCTCTATTTATGAAAAATAATTTGGAAGGCAAATACATAAAAAAGATTATGGGATAATTTACAGAAAATATTTCTCAAGTTTTTTTTGGTAAACCACAAAAATCTCAAAAAGATTTATGTATAAAACTAAAGTAAAATCATTCATATAAAACAAATGTTTATTTCAAAAACCATAGAAACATAGATTTTCTATGAAATAAAAAATTCAAAATTTTATATTAAATTAACATAAATAGAATGTGAAAAAGAGTTGCAAAGTGAACAATTACGAAAGATGATATAAAAACTTACATAGAATTGTTATCAAACTTTTAAAAATAAATCTCAGAAAGATTAATGCATAAAATAAAGTGAAATCATTCATATGTACTTTACTGTATAAAAGAATAATTTTTTCTTGATTAAAAAAACTAAAATGTTTAATTATGTAGTATAGAAATAAGTTTGATTTATATAAGGAGAAAAAATTGGCAAATACTTATTAACTATTTTTTCTCAACGATGAAAATGTAAAGTTAATTTTTGATGAGTTTGCTCATCAGCTAAATAATTTATGAATTATAATATGAAGTGTATAAATAAATTAAAACAAGATTATCGATTAAATTTTGATACCTGTTTTATTATTTATATTAATTTAAAATATTATGCTTTGAAGTGTTTAAATATACTAACTTAAGCATATATAATTAGTCAATTCTCTCTCCATCTTGAATGTCCAACTGAGCAATTTTTATTTTAAAAATGGGTTTTTATATATTTTGGTCTTTTCTTTATAAACATATATATAATGGGTATTTATTTTTACGCTTCCATATGATATTAATTTAAAATTTAAAATAAATACTTTTTGTCAACCTATAATATTATAAATTTTTTATTTGTGAAAAAAAAGTTTGGAAGACAAACAAATACAAAATATGACAGAATAAATTACAGGAAATAATTATCAAACTTTTAAAAACCCCTGTAAAAGATATATAAATAAAACTAAAGTAAAATTATTTATATAAGACAAATACTTATTTAAAAAACTATAAAAAACTAGAAATTCTTTACGAAGTAAAAATAATTTCAAATACAATCAAAGAGAATATAAAAAAAACTGCAAGATAAACAATTACGAAAAGTGGCAGAAAAACTTGTCGGAGAATAGTTATCAAACTTTAAAAAAAAAGCTCAAAAAGATTAATGCATAAAACTAAATTAAAATCATTCATATCTACTTTACTGTATAAGATGAATAAAGGTTTTTCATAAATAAAGAAAACTAAAGTGTTTAAATTATACAATATATAAATGAACTTGATTTATACGAAGAAAAAAAAATCAAATACTTATCAACTATTTTTTCTCAAAGGTTATATTCGATGACTTTTCTCATCTGAGAGATAATATATGAGTTTTAATATGAAGTATATAGATAAACCAAAACAGGATTATTAATTATACTTTTTAACAGATTCATGTCGTTTACCTTCACATGAGATAAATAATAGACAAAAATATATTCACACACATTTACAAATATAATCAGATAGTTCATCATCGTCAGATGAATGAACACATCAGAATTGATTCACGAAAGAAGAAAAATGATTCAAATCAATTAAAATCAATGATTTATCAAGTAAAGACAATTTTTGATATAATTACCTATCAAATATATGTAACATATGAACAGATCTCTTGCTCTGTCTCGCCACCTTTAACTACAATTTCTCTCATTTAGAGGTACGATGAATCACAGAACTGAATGAGATGAAAACTTGTATAAAATAAGAGAAAATATCAGTATATTGTAATTAGGACTATGAGAAATAGGATAGAGAGAAAAAAATGAAGGAATATTTATATTTGAAAATGAGTTAATTTATTTGAAAATCACCAAAAAAATTAAGAAAATATTTAGTTTAAAGTAGGAAGAGGCAATTTCACTTTATTGATTTATGAAAATAACATGTAGAAAAAAGATTAGAAACCAGTTGAATACAGATAAACAGTTGCAACACATATAATATATATTGCAGCGTATAAATATATGAGAGATATTTTTAATAATTAATACATAACAATCAATATTTGGGAATAAAAAAATTAAAAGCATTAAAAAGACAAATATAACACTTTATAATATAGAATAAACATATATATACAGTATAAAAATAAATATATAATATTTAAAATTAAATTAATAAATAAATTTGTATAATGCGTGGATCAAAATCTAGTATTATATAATATCTAAATTGACCCTTAAACAAAAATTACATGTTCGTTAGAGGTGTTAGGGGGGGAAATGAGCACATTTTCTAAAAGGTTTTCTCTAGCAATAACCTAAGCTCATAAAGATCAGGAAGACCGCGCCGATCTAGCTCGGATAAAAGGAAAACTCTTAAGGATAATCTTGGAAGTCCGGAAGCATCGGATTAACTCAAAGGATAAAAGAGAATTTCCATATTCTTCGGAGAATAAAGGATATTTCCATATCGCAAATATGGAAATATTCACCCAAGGGAAAAAGGAAAAGGAGTTCGGGGCAACCGACCTCCTATCCCTATAAATAAGAAGACTCTGAAGCTCAAGAGAACAACTCATAGAATTTAGAGAGCAACATAGCTAAAAACCAAGAACTCCAATGCTTTCTAGTTTACTTCACAAATACTTTCTTTTCACTTCGGCATAACCTCTCGGTTAAACCATCTCTTGTAATTACTTCGCTTTACAGCTATTAATTAATGTCACAAATTATTGACTTTTAAAATAAGTAACATAACAAAATATAGTAAAAAGAAATGTGAAAAAGGATCGTGAGACAACTAGGAGAATTTTCTTCTAAACTGTTAAAATGCTAAAGTATGACTAGAGAAAAAGAAACTTTAAATACTTTAGCAAAAAGTAAAACTTTCTACAGTTTCAACCACCCTATTTCTTTCATTGGCCAACAATACTATAACTCTGCGTTTTTTTTTAAATTATATTGGTAAGCAAGTTCTAAACCTTGCACACACCAAGTGGGCAAAACATCTACCAAAAATATCAAAGTTTATTCATTGGAAAAAAAAAGGTAACAAAAATTAACTAGGATACAATAAAACTAACCAGGGTCAGGCCAAGTGTTTGGGCTATAGAATGGTTTATCCCCATAGGGATCATCTTTTGAACCTTCGATTCCAATGAAAAAACACGCTTTGTAATCCCCTAAAGTCCATTATAGATTACAGCAAAATTGAGATACCTCAACAACACTTTTTCATTTTAAGCAAGTGATCAAAGCTGGTGAACTAATCGTGGACTTGATTCTCAGGATCTAAGATTTGATCAAGAACAGGTGAATAGCGTTGATTCTTGCCATTTCTCAAGACTTTCATCTTCTCCTCCAAAGGAAGAGCGAAAAATTTCTTGCTCTGCTCGAAAGCCTCGTTCTTCAACTCCTCACTTAAACTATGATTTATGACATAGAAGAATGCACAATCTAGACATGCCTGGAACAAGAATCACCCATAACGATGGAAACATAAGTTGTAATGATCACACGGTTCACACCATCATGTTTAAGAAAATTAAATGGAGATACACCTGCTTCAGCAAAGCAGCTGATTGATGAAGGTCAGAGTTGGCGAGATCTATGCAAGTCAGGGAAGAAACTTTGATGGTCGAAGGCTCCTCCTGAGCTTTTTTAGAAAAGCTTACTCTCTCTCTCTCACTCTCTGTGTTGACCTTTTTTAGAAAAGGTGATTGATGAAGCTCACTTTGTTAGTTTATCCCATGATGCTAGCGGCTTGTGTCATGCTACATATTTTTTAGATTTTCACTTACAATTATTCAGATCTCGGAAATATTGCCAAAATAATTTTTAAGGGTTATTTTTTTTTATTTTTAAGAATCCCATTAAGGGTTCTACCAATGTAAGAGCAAAAAATTAAAATCTATTAGATATTTATATTAAAAAATTGTTTAAGAATCTCATTAGAGGTTCTACTAATGGAAATGGTCTTATCTTTAGAAAAATGTGAAATAAATAATTTGTTTTTATTTTTTCATGTTATTCAAGAACTACAGAGAAATGATAATTTTAAATATTTTTGGCTACCATTGATAACATTTACAGTTACAACGAAGAAAAAAATTAGTTTGCAGAAAAATAAAATTTGCATATTAAAAAGTCGTAAAATGAAATAATTTCAGCAATTGGATAAATTTTTAAAATAGCAGAATATACAGTACAGATATTTAACTAACATGATTTCAAAAAATAATTTTCATATAACTTTAATATAATTTTATGAAAATTTTATTAAAAAAATTGTGACCTGTTTCTCGTTTGAACTTATAAATATTGTGATCTATTTCAAATATGACTAGGTTTATAACTCGCGCTATGCGCGAGTCTGTATTAATAGTTTTGTTTAATTTTTTTTGCTACTATCTTTCAAATTATCAAAACTATAATATATTTATAAAATTTGTTTTATATAATAGAATTTAAAATATAGTTTACATTTTTCTCCTAATTTTATTTATAACTTTTTAAATCTTATTTAGTAAAATAATAACAATGACACATATCGAATTATCTAACTTTGATGTACACATAAATTTGATTTAGAGAAATATTTTCTTACTAAGATCATGATGTTTTGTTTTGTTTTCTATATGATTTCTAGAGTTCTTTTTTAAAAAGGTTTACATGTTCAAATATTTAGTTCTTTTATTGAATGTTTCATTGATGTTGTGTACCTATGCATGCATAATTTATGATTCATATTGATTCACATTTAGTTTTGTTAGGAAGCTGCAATGATCATTGAAAGCTGTTTTTTACTTCTACTTAAGGTGTAGCACGAAATATAACTTACATTTTTATTCAGTTTATTATTTAAATATTCTTTTTTTGCAGTCTAATATTTGACAATTTTTATTTTTGAAACTTGTAGGATTGATAGTGTGGAGTCTTCGCATTATTTTTTACTATATTTATCTTTTGTGTGCTTTCTGCATGTTTCATTTGGATATTTTAGCTCCATATACTAATTTGTATTTGATTCATAAATATGTCATACTTTATTATTTAAATCAAATTTTAGAGTATGTTACCCATGTGTTATTAATTTTGGTTCAGAAATAAGTAGTAGCTATGTATAGAAATCAGATTTTATTACTTGTTAACTTTTAAGTGTAAAATTACTTATGTAGTGTTTTTCTTTGTTATTTCTAAATCAGAAATACACAGTGTTTTAATATTTGTATATTTAAAAAAAAATATTTGATTAAAACAAATGTAAACCAATTGCAACTTTAGATAGTTAGTCATTTTCGATACCACTATTTTAGAAATCAGAAAATTTTTGAAACTAATTTTAAATTAGTGTCGTTTTTTATATATATTTTACATATTCTGAGAGTAATTTTTTATTTTCTTTTAATTTATACAATTTTTGTATGTTTGATATACTTAGGACTTATATATATCAAACATATACTTAGGACTTTTTTTATTTTTGAATTTCAAAATAGATAGCAAATACATCAAATTAATTTCTTGTATACGAATGTTTTTTCTTAGTTAAATTTGTTTTTTCATATTAATTTTTATTTTAGTTATAATGCTGGTTTGACATGATATAACTTTTTATTTTAAATCTTATGTGGACTTCACTCAAAAGCTTATCACATAATTTGGTTTTTCTTAGTTAAATTTATTTATGTTGATTTTTTAAAAACGTTAGCCTAATTACCAAGTTAGTTTTGTTTTATACGATTTTTTTATTTGTTAATTTACCTCTTCTGATATTAATTTTTATTTTATTTTGAAATATTGTTTTTGAAAATATTGATATTTTACATACATAATTTTATTTTTATGATAATGAGACTATTTTATATTAATTTATAAATAATCAGTTTTTTAGATTATTTTTCTAAAAAAATTAAATTTTCTGATATTATTTATATATTTATTGTATGAACATTTTGTAAAATATAATTAATTTTTCATTTTTTGTTTATTTTTATATTGGTATCTTAAATAGTTGGCTTAAAGCTTCATATTTTTTGTTAGCTAAGTTTTTTTTTTTTTACTTTTATGAGTTAAAAACTTGTAAATTTTTTATTGATTTAATATTTTTATGAATTTTTTAATGTAACATTTTTGTTATTGATTTCCATTTTTATTTTTTTTGTTGATTTAGGTTTTGTGATATTAGATTTCTATTTTATTTTGATAGATGTTATAAATTTAGATTTTTGACATAATTCCATTTAATCTTTTGTTAGTTAAACATTTTTATCATAATTGTTCATTCTAATATGAAAGTTTTTTTTTGTTTTTTACATATTGTAATTTATTTAAATTTCTAATCAAGTATAACTTTTGTGTTTTAATGAAAACGCTGATGTGAACCAATCAAATTGAATTTCTTTATCCTAATCATACTTAATATGTTTAATTTAATGAATATGCTTATATGGATTAATCAAATCGAGTTTTTTTAATCCTATATAGACATCCTCCACTATGCCATCAAAATAGATTCGAAAGAATTGACTATATTATGTTTCATATAATCGAATTGTTATATTTCAATTTACATTATGTTTTATTAAAATGACGTATCCAAAAGTTATTTCAGAAATAGTAATCCCGCCTCTATCCAAGAGGAAATTGCTCATTTAAGGCAAATTTATTCCCCAACTATCATGTGTACAAATTAAATCCTCAGCTTAGCCTTAACTTCGCAAATTTAGGTATGAAAAAATCAACATTAAAGAAGAAAACGGAAACGTTACAATTGACTTTATATCTCAGTCCAATTTTGCAAAGTTAACATATACTTGAGGAATTAATTTTCCAAATTAAAAGTTGAGAAATTAATCTGCATAATGATAAAAACTTGAGGAATTAAATGATCATTTTTAATTAAGAAAATTATGATTATTTTCATAAATCATAATTATTTGTAGAATACCATCAAATACTTTTTTAAAAAATATTATTTTTATTATATTATGTTTTTTGTTGTTATGAATAAATTTTAAAAATTATGTGTGTTTAACTTCGGTGATTTTTTTCTTTACTGGGAAATTTTTTGGTTATCAACCAATGATTATTCTATGGTCACTCTATTAGAAGAACTAATTTTCATCAAATTTACTTATTTTCATCTATATTTTTCAGTATATGGTAGTATTTGGTTATCAACAGATGATTATTCTCCTATCAATCAGGATTATTTATTTTATTCAAATAAATGCAGAAAAAGAAAAGGTAAGAGATCATATACCTTAATTACCTGTTCAAAAATATATATATATATATATATATTTATTAAATTTTCCAAAATTTTCTAAATTTCTCCGAAATTATCCAAATATATGTCTTGAAGTTGATCTTTACCCAAATTACTCGGAGTTTGAGAAGAGATTTTGGGTAAACAAATTTTCCAAATCCGTTTCGTTCTTATCGGATTCCCATATTTCCAATTCTCATCTCGGGTCCTGAAATTTTTAAGAACACATATATCTGCTTAAATTATTTGTTTTTCGAAAGTTATGCATGCTGATTTTGTAATTTTGATTAAATATCAATGAAATTTTAAACAGAAAACATAATATAATAAAAATAATATTTAAAAAATAATATTTGATGGTATTCTACAAATAATTATGATTTTGATTATTAGAAAACATAATATGATAAAAAATATATTTGATGGTATTCTACAAATAATTTTGATTTATGAAAATAATCATAATTTTCTAAATAAAAATGATCATTTAATTCCCCAACTTGTTCTAATTGTGCAAATGAATTCCCCAACTTTTAATTTGACAAATTAATTCCTCTAGTTTATGTTGATCTTACAAAATTAAACTGAGAAAAATCAATAGTAATATTTCTGTTTTCTTCATTAATGTTGATTTTTCTTATGCTTAAATTTGCAAAGTCAATACTAAGTTAAGAATTTAATCTGCACACATGATAGTTGAGGAATAAATTTGTCGATTGCAAATAGTCGAGGAATTAAATGAACCATTTTCATCTATCAAAGCCTAGTGTACATTATCAATGAACAATTTTTCTTTATCAAAGCCTAGTGTACATTATCATTATACATTAAATATTTATTCCGATTTTGACTGATTTGATAAACAAATTTTGAATCAAACAATAGTTAAACTGTATTAAAAGGGGGAAGTGATCATTTTGCCTTTGAACGAAAACAATACGAATCTATTGGTTGGAATCGGTGGGTAGACAAGACACGTCCGTAGCAGATTATTCCACTCCCATGTGTTCCCTTGATGAACAATTGAACATCGATGCCAACAACAACAACAAAAGAAAAATCTCCAGTTCCATCTTTTGAACCTTCTATCAATATAAAGCCCAATTCAATTGCCGTCATCTCTCTCTCTCTCTCTCTCTCTCTCTGGAAGCTCCAGCTCGATTTCTTATCATCCGCCATGGCCTCGCAAGCTTGTCTTCTTCTTCAGAAACAGCTCAAAGGTACACGAAAGCAATCGAATCTTTCCTTTCCCAGCAAATCTGTTTTCCTCTACGAGTTGCCTATTCTCTGTTATTAAATTCGATTTTTTTTTTTTTTGTTTCAGATCTTTGCAAGCATCCGGTCGATGGATTCTCTGCTGGTTTGGTTGATGAGAAGAATATATTCGAATGGAGCGTAACGATTATCGGACCTCCTGATACTCTCTAGTACGTTTTCTTTGATCTATTAGAATTATGAGCTTCGACGAGATTTAGCTATTATCCATGTTCTAGATTCGATGATCCATCTGTGTTTTGAGCTGGGAATTGAGATTTTGGTTTTTTTCTGCCGAAATTCCGATCGATTTGTTGGATTACTGTTACGGAAGCTATCTCTTCCCTCATACTGCTGAGATTGGTGATTTCAGATTCATAGGATTGTAGAATTTTAGTTTTTTGGAGCTTTTTGTCTTTGTTTTATAGTACTCGTATGTAGAATTGAATTGCTGTTTGCTGAATTACATTGGATTAGTGTTCTTGTGAAGATGTTATTATTAGTTCTTGGAATTGAATCACTGTTGATGGATTACATTGGATTAGTGTTCTTCTGGAGATGTTATTATTAGTTATTTGAATTGAATTGCTGTTGCTGGATTACATTGGATTAGTGTTCTTGTGGAGATGTTATAATAAGTTCTTTGAATTAAATTGCTGTTGCTGGATTGCATTGGATTAGTTCTTTGTACGGAATTACTCAGCCTTTGTCTCTTTGCTAAAACGATTAAGCATAGTTATATAATGACACATCCTAAATGCAGTGAAGGAGGATTCTTCAACGCCATTATGTCTTTCCCACAAAACTACCCTAATAGCCCACCCACGGTCCGGTTTACTTCAGATATTTGGCATCCTAATGGTTAGTTTCGCTCTCTCGAACATGCCCTTATTGTGGGGGCAAGTGATATTTGAATATGAGACGCTTTGCTTCAAGCTTTGTTTCGCTCCTTTCTCTTGTTTGATGATGTTTTTGTTGAAATGTTTTCTGCAGTATATACTGATGGCCGTGTTTGCATATCTATTCTACATCCTCCTGGTGATGATCCAAGCGGATATGAGCTTGCAAGCGAGCGCTGGACGCCTGTTCACACAGTACGTTTTAAAAATGATCCAGTGTTATTGTGTGTTGTATGCTAAAGACCAAGGATCGATGTTTGATATGTGGAAACAAAACAAATGCTGATTTCAGGTTGAGAGTATCATGTTGAGTATCATATCTATGCTTTCTGGTCCCAACGATGAATCTCCAGCAAACGTTGAAGCTGCCGTGAGTGTTTTTTTCTTTCTGTTGTTTAGCTATGTTCTCATCATGAGCCTCTTTTGGATTTCTCATATTGTTTCCTTATGATATGTATCAGAGCTTGCTCGTTAACCATTGTCCGTGTTGTTTTCCTATTACAGAAAGAATGGAGAGAGAAGAGAGACGAGTTCAAGAAGAAAGTGAGCCGTTGTGTCAGAAAGTCTCAAGAAATGTTGTGATCAAAGCACTTTCACACTTCAACTCCAACTTCTCTGGAGTTCAAAGCTCATTTATCTTATGGAAACCCCTTTGAAAAAAGTTGTCCAAACACCACTTGTAATAAACTTGTCTTGCATCTTTAATCGCGTTCCAGAACGTGAATGAAGTGTTTGGTCGAAAAAAGTGTTATTCAGAAACTGACATTCAAATTTATACTATTCATACGTTTTGGTTTGTTGAAGCTCTTTGAGGTCGGTACCTTTTTTGTTCTCCATGGGGGCTACGTTTATTTTTGTGTTTGGACGCTGGAACTCCACACCGTTTTTACGTTCCCGTGTGAACTTCGTATAGTTCCGCTTTGTGCTAAATTAAAACAGCGTGATGTTTGCGTCTTCTGTGGCCTACGCATTAAAAAGGCTCGTGACGTTGTCGCTCTTGGACCGTTGATTTACCATCAATCGCTATCAAAATAGTTGGAACACTACACGTGTCAAATACCGTGTTGCCCATGGTAGACCCGCTCTAGTTATTTCGAAGTTTCGTTCGCCTCTTTGGATTTGCGACTTTGGAGAGAAGACGATCTGTCGTTTCGCTGCCGAGGATTTGATTCTCCGATAAGTTCACCGATTCGTTTTGAATTGCGCTCTCAATTCGTCATAGACGATCTGCTGTCCGTCGATTAATTCGAGGTTAATGAAGAAACCACAGAGTTTTCTCCGATGATAGATGATTGTTTTCGTTGTTTCTTAATAGAATTCTCTGCTTTCGTCGATTCTACTTGCTCATTGCTGTTTCTTAGAAGGATTATAGCTTATGATAATGTTGAATTTCCATAATTGCGGTTTCAAATTAGTGATTTGCACTTTATTCTGATCAACCTAGTCGATTAGCGGAAATCTTAATGCAATTTTGTTTGCAGAATTGCTATTGTTCGACATGGAATTGGCGTGATTTCGTCTTGAGTGATTGGAGTTCCGTGACGTATTTTGCTCATCCTAAGCGTTGTTTTTTTAATGGGAGACCCATTGGAGCATTCTGCTAGAAGTAGAAACTTTGTGATGGCAACTGTTTCTTCTGGGAAAGAGTTTCCTAAGAGAAGCTTAGTAGCTGCTATTCCGAGAGCTGTTCAGCAGACGATTTATAAGCATGTTTCATTGGCAAGTAACGGTCGTGTAGGTAGTGGCACGGTGCGCAACGCAGCCGTGTTTCTGCTCAAAATCGCGGTTTTAGAAGCCGTTCGGAGGATTTCAAAGGCCAAATGTCCTCATTTGTGGAACAGTCTTCAGGCGTTGCAATGCCTTTGTTATCCTCCTCTTAAGTGGATTCAAAGATGGGCTCCGTTTAAAGAGCTGATCAAGGCAATGCAGGTTTGCTACTGTTGGCACTACGCCCCTTTTTTTTGTAGTTTATTGCTGTTCTGAACAAATCTTGATGCAGCATGCAACTTTTGGACTGCATAGTAATCTACGATTCTAAGATAAATGAAACACTAATAAGAAGTTCACTGTTCTCAACTTTATCATGTACGTTAACTAAATGTCACTTGTAATATGTTTATGTGGACAAACATTTTTTTGTGTGTGTTCTCTTCTATGGTTTAAAGGGTATTTATTTCTAAAATTTTGCGTACCAAGTTGGATGAATCATGATTAATTCCTACATCATTCTTTGGTGGCAACACATCAATTATGTTATTATATATATTTTAGTTTGATAAGTTCTTTTTCATTAGTAGTTCTGTGATCTCTTACTCGTTTATGTATCATGCTATCATCTCAAATGCCATGTGCAGGTCCATTTGTTGGTGATTACTTGATATTTCTGTCACCAAACTGATCTGCCCTCGATAACTGTGTATAATCTTTATGCAGCTGCTGTCTCGGCCATTATTGGTCCTAACGATTGCAGAGGCTCTCACAGACCACTCAGAGTTAAAGCAAGAAGCCCCGGGTGGTGCTGCCTCTAATGCATCTTCAGAATCTCATTCTGATCCACAGACGTCTCAGCCTCCATCAGACATAAGGTACGTGATGTCAAAGTCTTACCTGTAATATTGTGCTATGATAATTTGAGACTGTACAACTTTAATCTGAAGCACTTTGAAGTTTTGCAAATCCCTTGAAACTCATCAAACCTCCATACTCTTATCTAGATATTTCTATCCTAACGTTTCTGTAAATGCAGAATTGAAGATGAGGCTCCACATCTTGTACCTTCGCAAGACTGGCTTAAACAACTTTACGAAGAACTGGAAAAGCAGAGACTTAGCTTGCCAGAGAGGTAGTTTAAAACTTTAGAATTGTATTACCTTCTTTGAGTTTCACCGTATAATTTTCTGCATTAGATCATAACCACCCAGTCTCATATTAATGTAGACTCAATGAAGACGAGCTTCATCGATTCTATAGAGTGTCAAATGGAGACTTCACATCCTTACTATCTTCAATAAAAAAGACAATCAATTGGAGGGAGACTTACAGAATCCTATCTGAAGAAGAACTTGAGACATGGTCAAGCTTAGTCTTTTGGCATGGATTTGACAGGAACCAACGACCTTGTCTCATTGTCCGCTTGGGGCTTGCATTTCTAAAGTTGCCATCTCATGAAAGACCTCGTTTCGCTCAGGCAATCAGTACGTCCGTAGTGGCCCTACTTCATTTCCCGGTTGTTGTCTTTTCCTACGGTGTTCTTCTGATCAAGTATTTTTTTGTTTCAGTATCTCAGGTAGAGTACGGCGTTTTGAATCTTCTAAACCCTGAGAATTCAGAACTTACAGTATTAGTGGATTGTGAAGGATTATCTCCTCTGAGGATTCCCATGCAGATGATGAGATCTTGTTCTTCCATTCTCCAAGATCATTTCCCTAACCGTCTCGGCTGCCTATTCATCATTCGACTCCCTCCTGTTGTCCGAGTCATTTCCCAGACTTTTATCCAAGTAAAGGATCTATCTACCTAAGCTAACTTCATTTATTTTTCAGATTTCTTAGTCTTTGTTCTTGTGTCTATATGATTGTTGATATCTCCTGCCTAAACTTATCTTCCTCTCTCATAGATCCTCAGACCAACCACACGCAAGAAGCTGAGAATTGAAGGGGAAGCGTTCCATCGAGTCCTCTCTGAATATCTCCTGATGCTTCCTTCATACCTTGGCGGCGACTGCAACTGCAAAAGATGCTCGAATCTCAGCGAACAGGATCCACCACATACACAAGTGCAAACGCAAGAAAGAAGCAAGAGTAGAAGAAGCTCAAGGGAGATAGAGAAGCTAGACGTCAGCCGCTGGAGTTACGATGCCCAGACACCTGATTTCGTCTATGACGACGACCCGAGCCTGAGCGTATGCAACCAAGTGCTTCGCACAGCAGTAGTGTTCGTGCTCATGCTTTGGCTCTTGGGTGCACTACTATTTGGATTAGCCGATCCAGAGAGCAGACCCTTTTAAGCTTCCATAAGGTAAGAACCAGCCATAAGCCCATAAGGCTTGCACGTATGTCTTTTATGTACATCGTATATGTGTAGTATATTATATCATCTAGCGTGTTCGTTGCAGACGAGGAGGGGATTATAAGAACCAATACGTTCAACTTAGTTTTGTGATTAATGTTTGTGGTTGTACGTTGGCAGAAAGTAACTACGGTTTAGTATTGTGTTTGGTCATCCTCTGGCCTCTGCAATAAAAATCTGTGAACAAGACTTCTTGCCATTGTTGCTGATGTTTTTGTTAAAGTCAGTTAGTTTTGTTTAATAATGAGAAATTTGTATCTAAAAATCATTGTGTTGATAAAAGAAAATGTATACATTCACCGGTCAGATTCTACCCGAACTTAGTTTGAATATTTCCTAGACATGATGTTCATATATCATATAACTCATATTCCTTCCGTTTCATTCAAAGTTGTTTTATATATACATACTACTAGGTGGTTGATTCGTATATGAGTATTAAACCTTTATTAAAAATAAAATAATTATAATGTTTAAATTTATAACTTATAATAATAATAGATAGATGATTGATCTATACAAATAACTAATATATAAATGTAAATTAATTTTACATAATTGATAGAATTTATGATTATTGAGTTTGATTGGTTCTCCATTAATATCTGCAAACACCTCTTTTACATGTGATATTTGTTGTTAATATTTAACAATAATCATCACAAATATTTTCTACTATTTTGAAATGTAGATTCTTCAAAATTAAAAACTCATTTTCACAAATATTTACGGTTGCGGGCATTTGCAGATACACAATAAATTTTATTTTAAATTATAATAGTATACTAGATTTTGGATCTGCGCATTTGCACAGATTTTTTTTTATAAAATATTTTTGGATCATAGTAAAAACGGTTTATATTAAACTTTTGATAAAAAAAATTAACATATATTATTAAATCCAAAATTGTGGCCTAAACTGAAATTTCTTATTAGATTATATAAACTATTTTTACATTTTTGGTTTTATGTTCCTAAAATTATTTAGGCTTGATTTTATAAAAAAAAAATATTTTGATTAGCGGATTTTCTGTTAAGTTTTGTAAAAATCTATTTTAAAATTTTATGTGTTATAATGCAAGAGAGATTTCATTTGTTTGTAATTAAAATTTCAATATTAACTTAGGCTTTGTTTGTTTTTGCATCCCTATATTTATTTGGATGTAAATACTCAAATATTTTTTATAAAAAATATATATTTTTAAAACAATATATGGATGTTGTATCTCAATACAAAATCTATAATATCTCAAAATTTGTATATTTAAGATACTAAAAAATAGAGTTTAGATGCAGCATTTGAATTTTTAATTTTTTTTTTAAAAAAAAACACCATTTCATTTAAACTACAAAATCAATTTTTTTTTTTTGTCAAAACCATAAAATCAGATTTTTTATCAAAATAAAAAGCTGTATTTTCCCGCAAAATCGTAAAATCATGTTGTTGTACCAAAATCGGGAATTTCCGTAGAAACTGTAAAAACAGTATTTTCCATCAAACCGTATTTTCCTGCCAAAACTGTAAACTTACATATTTTAACAAAACCAAAAATTATGTTTCCTCTCCCCCCAACACAATAAAACCGTATTCTATGAATAATTTTCTAAAATTACGTGTTTTTGTTAAACCTGCAAAATTGTGTTTTTTGTCAAACCCGCAAACCTGCATTTTCAATAAAATCCATAAACCCACATATTCCATCAAAACCTTTAAAATCCGTTAAAACATGTAAACC